AATCGGAATTTATCTAAGTTCGTCCGTATCACTCATAGATCAAAATCTTATTCAGATTATTATATCTGAATAAAGCTGGATAAATAGGGCACGATCATATGCAAGAAAAAAAAGTGAAACACTTCAATTTATATTCTGAATATATCGCATGATAAAAAAAATCATCTTGTTTTTTTGACTCAATTACATATGATTTGTTTTTGTTTTCGTCGCGTTGGCTTCCTCCGACTCATGCAGTGACTCAACGTCTTCTTTTTGTCCTTTCTCCGTCAACATAAACCTATTCGTGACAGAAGAGAAAACGTTCTTATTCATATAATAGGATAGGAAAGAAAAAGAAAATGTGATGAAATAAGATAAAACCTTTCGTGTTGAGTAATGCAGCATTCTTTTCATCATAAAAAAACCTTTTCCTTTCAAAGAAAAACAACTTGCTCCATGGAACACATATTATAACTTGAGTGTTGCGATTAAATTGATAGAAAATTAATTTAATGACTGTTGTTTTCTGTTCTAGATTTTAGGATTGAATATATATATATGTTTTTCATGGTCGAATGATGTTAGACACAAATCAACAATCAATAAATACATCAGGTACTATTGTCGCTAGAATTTATGATTAATTGCATTCTGTTTTTTGCTTTAAAAGAAAATAATGATTCGAGTGGAAAACGTCTAAAACTCATCGATGGTATAGATATGAACAACTCGATCATTGATTTTTCAACAACGAATAACCAGATAAAAACTGAAGATATTCCATTGCATAGTGTCATGAAGAGGCGACATAGTAGCATTCATACTGAAAATTTATTTGATCATAACGGTCATATTGAAAACAAAGTTTTGCGTAGGTAAGAAGAAAAAAACATATTCTCTTTCTTAATATCAAACATGTGGATGAAGATGAGTGTTTTCTTTTGATTGACAAATTTATAGCTGTTTTGAAACATTGTCCGATGAATTATTGTTCATGATAATATCTCATCTGAGTTCACCCAATCGTGTTCAAGCATTTTATGGTCTCAATCAACGATTAGATAGGATTGTAGCGAAGTCTACTCGTTATTTCGTCGTACCCTATAGCACACCACTCGTTTGGTTTATTGAATACATATCACGTATTGAATATATGGTTGAAACAATTTGTTTGAATATCGATTCGATGCTTTATATATTTTCGTGTACATATAAGTTTCCTAAACTTCGATCAATTATTTTGATGGATTCATGTAACTTTACTGTCGAATTAAATGCTGCACATTATTCCGCACTAAGTTCCATTGTATCATGTTTAAATGTTCTTCGAATTTGTAACATTTGGATTTTTGAAGAATCATACTACAATGTCTTAGGACAATCTAAACAAAATAGATTTAAAAATGACGAGCAGGTTTGTGTATAATAGCTCTTTTTGTTTTTATTGTATCTTCTCATGTAAATCGTTTTTTAGGCTGAAGCTCTCGAGAATACTTTATCTTGCCCAGATATTGTACGTTTACGTGTCGAACAATGCACGGAACAGGACATGCTTTGTCTTTGTGCATTGGCGCCTAACTTATCTAAACTTCAGATCATGTCTCTCGAATCAAAGAAAAACTTTTCGAACTATTCAGCTGTGTCAATACTGATTTTGAGGCAAACATGTCTAACACAATTTCATATTGCTATTAATAATACTACTGAGGCCTATTGGAGTTCTATTGACAAATTGATCAGCTTGCATCAATATTCTATAAAACAATTGACTTTGATTATATGTAATAATCATTTTGATTTTAATGGAAGACGATTACAGGCATTAGCTCAGTCGTGTCAATGTTTAGAAAAATTACAATTTGTCTTTCAATACAAAATGCAAAAGGCCAACGCTGTAGAAGAATTAATTCATTTCCAGAGTGAATGGTGGTTAGATGTTCATCAACCACCAGTGATGCTACTATATAATAATGAGAAAGAAATATTGGTCTGTTCAATGCCCTGTGTTGTTCCGGTAACTTTTAAGTTTTCAGCTGATCCTCGTGCCTGGTTACTGAATAAAGGAGAATTCGATTCACCACTTATTTGCTTTACTAAAATAAGAACAATCCATTTTCAGAATAGTCGCTTGCAGTTAATCAATTTCGATTTGTTATGTTTCGTTCATCGGATTTTTCGTTCGAATCAGCAAACGCTCAAATTTGACGACTGGTTATTGGCATATATTGAGTCACTTTTTACGCAGGTAACTTTCGATGATTGTGCTCTTAAACATGATTATTAACAGAAACAAAATTGAAGACCTCATATGTATTATTGCTATTAGAATTTTATAAAATTTTCAATAGAAATGAATGTATATTTCTTGAGATATTGAACTGACAGATATTAGTATCAAATCTACTCTTCATTGGTAAATATATCCTTATTTTTTGAAGATCAATAGTTTCAGTTGAAACTTTGACAAAAGCTTCTTGTTGTACCTTGAGATGTCTTTGAACAAAACTTGCAATAAGAAATTTATTATTCGAGTTTTTCAAAAATAACTGACCAAGACTTGAAAAAATATCTTAATAGTAAGAAGTTTTGACCGGTATAGAGATATCTTTCTCCTTACTAGTGAATCTGAAGTATTTTTTGTTTCTTGATGTTTTTCCTCACGAAATTGAGCTTAAAAGTCGCCTTTGTCACGAGTTAAAAGTCATTTTACTAATATAATTCATCGATCTGCATTGATATGACACAATGTTATTAAGATAAAATCGAATAAATGTTTAGAATGGCAATATCCAATAGATCTCTCCTAATTTCTAAGATGCAAGGACACAAAGTCTTTTGATAACAAACAGTGAAAATGAGTATAGTCGTGAAATAGTACTTTTATACTAGTACACTAATGATTAGAAGAAATTATTAGAATTGTGCATTGCAAACTCTAGAGATGCTAAAATTCAGAACAACTTGAAATTACTCATTTCTAAATAGATGATTTAACAGTATAAATATCAAATGAAATGTTGTTGTCATTTTTTTGAAGCTCATGTCTACCAGATTAGTGTTACCAGTATTGCCAAATGTGACGCAGTTTGATTGGAATTCTTCTGAACTCAATGGATTAAATGCAATGACAATTATTGTATGGCTTTCATTAGCACCTAATGTGACCAAATTAAATCTAAGTCACAAAAGTATCGACGATAAAATGAAACTGACAAAGCAATTGAATAAATTATTAGAGACAGATGAACGTATCAAATCGATTCTTGATCGGATTGTAGAAATCAAGATTTTTCCAATTTATCACACGATAGATGATGAGATCAAATCAAATGTACTTCTCAAGTTTTCTCAACTCTTTTCAAAAGCTATCGTCATTTGACAAACCGAAATGACTTTAATAACACGCAGTCTATGCTTGATCTTCTAATGCTTATTATCAATTGGTATAATTTATATTGAGAACTTATTTTGTAATCAATGAAAATAATTATTTAAAATACACTTGAGACGAATTCGTGTTCATTAAACTACCATATTTAGTTTATAGAACAATCACATTTACCTTTCTGTCAAATTTTATATTATGTGAAGAAGATCGAATCAATCTATGTGCTTGTTTTTGAGAAACATGGCTGATTGTTTGTTCATCAAAGGGTGTGAGTCATCGCTGTATTCAGATGTGAACTGAAAGATTCAGTATTTTAAAACTAACTGTCATTTGTTTCTCTTTCAATCATATGAAGTTTCTATCACTCATGATGTAGATTAAGGATCTGAATGTTGTTTCTCCCCAATAGTATATGATATTAAAGTGTGTGTTTTGTTACTTTTCTCTATCAACGATTGGCTTCCCTACTGAGTTTACCAAGCGTCATTATTTCCAACCTTATGATGTATATTTTTTCCTTTCACAAAAAAAACATTAGAGAAAGAAAAAAAAATGTGTTCGTGCGGACTACCGAAAAAAACACAATGTTTCACGAAAGGTAATCTTTTTTTCTTGTTTTCTTTTACAGCGTGATTCATTGTGAATATGAAAATCGTGAGTTCTCCGATTCAAAGAAGAATCACATTTCAGTTTTGAATTTCAGATTTATATGTAATGAGTTCGACTAATCATCAAACAACAAAGGCCTCACACGTCGACTATCGACAGAATTCAGGTAAATACTATTTTCTTGAACGCTTCTTATTCTTATTTGAAGAAAATACAGATTCTTGGGTTAACAAGCGACTAAAACTACATCATGAAGATCAAAGCAACTCATCTTTTCAAGTTTCTACAGAAAATAGCACATGTACTACTGTTAAGAGTCCTCTAAGACAGCAGACTAACGTCATCATCTCGAAAGGGTAAGATGCGACGTAAAAGACTTCCTTAATTCATCTGATCATTGGATAGTAATCTGGAAACTTTACCAAACGAACTCTTATGGATGGTTATTTCTTATTTGAATTCGCCCGATCTTGTTCAAGCATTTATAGATCTCAACTTTCGTTTTAATACTATTGTTCTCCAATCCATACGTCAATTTTATCTTCCGCAAAATATGTCACGAAAATGGTTTCTCACTTCAATGCCACACATTGAAAATACTATTGAAACGCTCGTTTTAAATACCACATCAGTGGCAAATACTTTTTCTTGTTCACATTTATTTATTAATCTTCGTTCAGTCATTTTGAGATATGATCCTTCTTCCATCGTTGAATTGAATGTTGCACATTATTCAGCTATAGCAGCAATTCTGTCATGTTTGAATGTACTTCAACTATCGAAAATGTTACCTCCGGAAAGTATTGATAAATACTCATTGTTCAGTAGTCGAGCATGGTTTGATGAAGAAGAACAGGTATGTGTGTGTGAACATGACAAATGTTTCTTTATCGTTTTTCTAACATGAATCATTATAGGCCGATAAAGTTGCCAATTGTTTACCTTGTCCAGCTATCATACGTTTATCGGCCAGAGTTTGCACAGAACAAGATCTATTGTGTCTTTGTATTCTTGCTCCTAATATAATCGATCTCAAGATCGACAGTCTCAAACTAAGTTCTATCATTTCGAATTATTCGACATTTGCAGCTGGTATCTCTCAGCCGACACGTCTTAGAAAATTAGAAATTATTTGTATTGATTCCGATGATGAAGATCCGGATGAGTCATATCGAAGTCCATTTGAAATACTATTTAAATCTTATCAATCATCGTTGGAATAGGTGACTTTAATAGTGAATACTAATACCTTTCTTATTGATGGACGACATCTGGAAACATTATTTAAATCATGTCAACGACTTCAAAAACTTCACTTTGTTATCATGTATCAGAGGAAAGACATTGTTATTGCAGATCAATTAAAACAGTTCCGAAGTAGCTGGTGGCTTGATACTAGTCAGTCACCTGTGCTTATATTAGAGAATGATGAAGATACCATATGTATCTGTTCGATGCCGTGTACTTTTTCTATGGATTTGAGACTTTCACCGAATGTAAAGACTTGGTGATTGAATAAAGATCAATTGGATTCACCACTTATTTATTTTACTAATGTAAGATCTATCACGTTTTCGAACAGTAGTCAACAGCCGATGACTTTTGGCTTATTACGCCTCATTGAACACATTTTTCGTTCAAGACATCTACAATTGCGTTGTAACTGTTGGAACATAGCTTTGCCATACAACTTGTCCATAGAACAGGTGAGTTTCAATGATCATTTTCATTGACAGGTGTAACTTGAGTATATCGAAGATAAAAATTAGGCATTTTTAATCTCGACATTGGGATGAATTTTTGAAATTTTGATACTGAACAAACGTCTATTTTCTTATTTGTAGTGAACTAATAATATTAACTATTAATAATTGACTTTTTCTTATCTCACACATGCACTTTATTTTATCGTAGATGCTTACATCGCAATCGATGAGCACAATTTTGACTCATATCAAATGTTTAGATATGTATTCATACACCCCTGATAAATTAGATGCAGTCACACTGATTAAATGGCTAATATTAGCACCAAACGTGAAGAAGTTACATCTGTCATCGATGAGCAATACAATGAAGATACAATTAGGCACAGATTTACGCCGATTACTAGATTCAAACGAGCATTTAAAACCAATTTTCAATCGTCTAGAAAGTGTTTTCGTACTATCTAATATGAATGAGCATGGTTCACACATTGAATCGGATGTTCTTACCATGTTTACTAGTCTCTTTCCAAGTGCAGTCATATTTGAATAACCGCAACATATTTATATTTACTAAGTTTGACATCATCATCTACTTTATCATAAATACTAAGAACGCTCGTTATATTTTGATGGCTGATTTTAACAGCATTTGACAAGTGTCTATCACATCGGTAGAAAAAGAAATATCTAGTGTAACTAGGCTTTTGAAAACAAAGTTAAATAAAATGTGACATGTACAGCATTTGTTTATTGAAGATGAGTATGAATCTCAATTTTCTAAAAAAAAACATCTTTTAATTGTTTTCATTACTTTGATCAATTGATTCTTGTCTTGATCGTTTTTCTTTTCACAAATCAACTGAAGTATATTTTGGAAACTGTTAATTAGAGGTCACGTAGATATAATCAGTAGTGGTAGTTTATATTGAGAACTGTTGATAAAAGAGTGCAGGCTTTCTTGTATATAGTCCAGCAGTGTCAAACTTGAAACTTGAATTCAATTATTGAAAAGTTGTTTCAAGTATTCAATTATAACATTATTGCTTTATGGACCAGTCCCTTCGCCGCACCCACACCTGAGATCGTGATGTGTGTGTTTCTCTATGGTGTGTGTTCCCTGGAGTGCCGTTGAATAATTCAATACTTGAAGTTCAACTATTCAACTATTCAATTATTGAATAGTTGAATAGTTGAATTTCAAGTATTCAAGTTTCAATAATTGAATACTTGAATTCAAGTTTCAATACTTGAATACTTGAATTCAAGTTTCAAGTTTGACATATACGGTTAAGTTGTAGCGCCATGTCTGGGCTACATTTTAAAACCAATGCGAACTTTCTAGCATTTAAGGTGGCGGAGAAATTTGGGACGCACGGAAACCTAAATTTTGACCCATAAGCTTCAGGTAGCTCTTCGTACACTCAATATATCGAGCTGAAATTTTTACTGTAAGATGCCGAACCCAAGATACACCTCCGCTGAAAATTTCATCGAGACTAGATGCTCAGAGAAAAAAAAGTTTTTTATGGGGGCTCTTAATATTTTCTTGACACGATTTCTGTTATATATGAGTTTTTTCTTAATTTATTGTTGTTTCTTGTCCTTGGCTTCCTCCATATTCCAATCGACAGGGTTAAAATATTGAACTGTCTTTTTGTACGTCCAATATGGAGTCAACCAAAATGTGACAAGCGTGAGATCGATGAGGATATTAATTGTAGTTGGCAGTGGAAGATTTTCTCGAACATTATCCCAATCTTTCCACAATTCATACCAAGCTCGACATTCATATATAGTTCGCATATGAAGTATATTAATGAGTATCCATTGATTGACCTTCCATGTCTTCGTATGTTGAAGTCGTAATTTAATTAAACACCAGCAAAGACATGAAAATGGTGTACTAGCTTCCAGAACGAATGATTTAACAAAATAATAGTGACCACGTTTGAAGAGTATTGCAAAAAGATAGTTATTGAATGCAAGGATATGATGCAAATGAAGTTCTTTTGAAAAGTTACGAAATCTCGTGTCAAAATAGATTAAAGTTATCTCTTCAAAAATGAAGAAAGCCAATATAATGTAGCAAAAACACCATGATTCATTGGTTGATGCCATCACATGATCAATGCAAAGACGGTGGTCAATAAAAACCATTTGAACAGCTAGAATTGGATTGAATATTGTAGTTTAAAACTAAAAATAGTATTCAATATATGATTTAACAATACCCACCCCAAACAGTAAACATTCCACAAACAGCTCGAACACATGCCAGCTGCCAAAACATTTTTTCCTTTGATTTCAACGTCCTAGTTATCACAACCAGAATATTATAATAGATATATTCAATGAAATGTGAAACTATGGCTAATGCAAGTATGGTAATATTTTTTTCTTATTTTATTTATCTCGTTATATAGTTTAATATTGAAAACAGAGTTAGTCTGAAATCTATTTTTCAATCTTCTGAAAAATGTTTGCAACGAAAATCCTATAAAATCAGTAATGCTTTCAGCTTCTATCATGTATTTTCTCCATCATGAACATTAACTGGAACAATGAATGAAATTATTGTGATGTAACTATGGTGAGTAAATCTGTTTATGATCTATCTGAAGTATCAGAAAATATAAATTACTTGAATTGAGGTAAGATAAGTTTTGAAATCCATCCTGTGGTAAAGTATAAACTGTACCAACAAAAAGGTAAATAGCAACGATAGGAAGATTTTCAGTCAATGTTTGGTCCACTTGTGAAATATTCAACATTGAGACATTTTGTTCGACCTATTAAAGCGTAAAATAAAAAACTAGGTCATCTGTTAATAATGAAAAAGACGCACTTACCCTTGTGTCTACAGCAGTATTACCCAACACTCATTGTGATACTTTTATTTTCTCTCAAGATCAAGTCCGTTAGTACTCTTTTATTTCATGTTTATCGTAATAGATAAGATAGCCTACAGTGATTCTAGTGTTCTTCGTTTATGACAAATAATATACACCTACCTGACGCAAAATGATGGCGATTTACATTTGAAGAACAAAAAAAGAAAACTTACTCCCAAAAAAGTCGGTATCGGATAGGTGTGTAGATAGAAGATCCATGCTCATTGTCAAGAAATAATCATCTCACTACCGACCTTCTAAATTGTATACTGTCGTACGCTTCCTAATTCTCATAAAATGGTTATTTACATGGCGCAGCAACCACAATCGAATGATGATTTCCGATAATTGGCATTCGATACTTCAACTCACTGACTTCTTTTTTTCTTTTAGATTTATATACAATGAAATTCGTTATCTTTTCGTTGAGCTTGACTGAACATATTGTTCAGTTGTGGAAGTTTGTATTTGTATTTGTTATTGGTATACATATTTTAAGGAATATGGGGGTAGCATTAGTATCCTGTCATCTTGATTGGAGTGGATACTAGAATTAAAACATATCTGAGAGAATTCAGCAGTCGAAAACAATAGAAATTCTGTTAGAAAAGTTTCCGACCAAAATCTGGCAATGATTTGATCACATCTTATCGTAACTTATGATCTAAACCTTTAACTTGGAAAGTGTTCTGATATTTCTTTTTCTTATTGATAAAATACAGCTGACGTGTATGTACATTAGACGAAGCTGTAAAAACACTATTTCTGTGTTCGAAGGATAATCTAATCATCAATTATCTACATTGTATAGCCTATTCTATTGGTTTAGACGGCACAACTCGAGAACATGCATACTTGTTCTACAATGAATTGCGATCAACGAGTGTTGACATAAGCCGAAATATTATGATTCATCTATGTAAATTTCATGAATAGGAGCTGTAAAACAAGACATCTATATATCACTTTCTCTGATCGAGGATGTGGGTGGGTGTGCGTGTAGAGAACAATTAAACAACACCCATATCCATCAAATTAACTACAGGCGAATAAAAGAAAAATTGAAGATTGAGTGTGGATGTTGACGTAAGAAATGATGAGACTCATATCTATACCCACTAAATTTTTTGAGTATTAAGTAATAAAATGGCGCATCTTGAAGACCCAAGTCTGATGTTTATCCCCGGCGAATGTAAAACAATTAAGATCATTCTCACATTGTTAAAAATTTCAGAATTCAAGTAACCTGAAAAAAACAATGGTTCACTAAATTGGACTTGATGCAATTCAGTTAACTTTAATTTAATTGCTACGCGCAAGATTAAAATTCATCCCTAATAAAAACTGAATAACGTTCTACTAAAATATGAACTCTGTTAAGGCTGAATGAGTGTGAGTGGTGAAATAAATAGGTTTCACTACACCCATACTCACACTCTTTGTTCTACTAATGGATAACGAATAATATCTTGTTTAAAGCCAGTTCTTTCTCTCATTTCATATCCACATACAAGACGATAATTTAATATATTTAAATTTGTTGCCAATATTTTATTCAAATTCGGAAGTAAGTATATACTATAACAGGCAATAGTCACACTTTTTAAATTATCCTCAGTAAGG